GTCTGCGTTCCTATGAGCCACGTTTTCAAGCTGAAGGTGAGGATGACAGCAAGCTCTTCAGATTCATGCACTATTCATGCAGTCCAGTGAAGCCCTTATAAGATAATAAGAAGTCAGTGAGACGTGGCAGCCTCCAGCTCCACTGCAGTTTTCATCCAGGGATCTCTGCCTTTCACTAATATTTATTAACTGAGTCTTGCAATAGCCTGGCAGGGTCTGAGGTTCAGTTTAGATCCGAGAGGCTCTCTCTGTGCAGGGAGTGAAAGGAAAGATTTGGATCCAGTACCAAAGCTGAATGAAGACAAGAGGGCTCAGCAATATTAAACACAGCTGTGAGTAGGGATGGGTACGGTGGAAGAGTAAACTGGGTGCTGAAATGGAGGACAAGGTCAACAACGATGTCCGACTTCTCAGCTCTCCTGGGGCAGATGAAGGGAGCTAAAGTATCTTGAGACAGAAGTTTATGGATGAGAAAGGGGTGGGAGAACAAGCAGGAGAATTTAGGGAAGGACAGACCCGAGTGAGGAGAGAATGACAAAGGCAGGAGCTGGAAGGTAGCGAGGAACAGGGGCAGGAAAATGGCATTCAAAGGACAAAAATGATGGGCTGGGGAAATGAGAGCTACCAAGAAGGATTGGAAAGTGTGCGTATGCCCCTCTGTCTGCAGGATGGCTGCGGCTGAGTCAATCCCTTGCACATCTCCTGTTATTACAGAGGTATATGTGTTTTTCCCAGCTAGGTTAGGTGTGCTGTTGGCTTTTATTTCCATTGATGGGGATCTCCTAGCACCGGGGGGGTCCCCCACTGCCCTGATTCCGCACTTGGAGCTGCAGCACATTGCCCCCAGCAATGCCCCTCGCTGGGAAAGCAGACCTGGTACTGCCCACTTGGGAAGAGCTGCTGAAGAAAATCACTGCTGTGATTGATGCCAGTGCCCCGGTGCCACGTGCTGTGTGCAGCAATGGACGTGAAGGGAAAAGCCCATCATTTTCCAGGTTATCGAATCTGTCTGTGTAGCCAACGGATACGAGGCAGTTGACATCCGGTGTTTGCTTCAGAAATCAGAATAATCCCAGCCCACGGGCTGTCTCCCTTTCACAGGGGTTTCGTATCCTTTGTTGCTTTAAAAGAACAAGAAATTGGACAACTAGACTGAAAAATGCCTTTTTATTCCCTATGCTTCCTAAGCAGTATTTGAAAGTCAGCTCCTTCTGTACTTGCACCAGTCTAATTTAAAGCTGCTTCTTTAGATCTGTGATATTGAGGAGCTGCACATCTTTCACCCACGGGTAGTGGCATCCATGCAGAGGCAAGGCTGTTAAGAATTGCCTGCGTGACTCCACTCCAGCCCTTGCTGAGTCTCATGCCTGTGTTTCACATGGTGATGGACACCAGATGCTGTAAGAGCCCCAGCATAGGCAGATGTGAGATAATCTGATTCTGCCTCTCACTGTCTGATCCTAATCCCTCACAGTGTTTCAGTCCCAGAAACTCCAAGGTTTCATATTCCTCACAATGTTACTGGTAAACCCTCAGTCTATTTGTTAATACTCAGTTAAATATTTGCACCTCCAGTTACAATCCTTGGGGAAAAAAAACCTCTTACCAGCAATTTAAACCAGAACTATTATTGCCATTTCTCTGCCTTCTAAAATTAGATTCCCTATATATTATTTACCACTGTTTACTGCCATCCTGCTGTGGTGAAGACAGCAGCCTCGTGGCTTGTCAGCAAAGCTCTGTGTGTCAGCACATGGGTGGGTCTGTCACAGTGGGTTGAGAGCCAGACGTGATTTGCATGTGTGGACTGCTGCACTGGGGTTACCTTTGTGAGAACCAGTGCTTACAACAGCTCCTTCACATGGGCTGTTTGTGCTCTGGGGTGGGTTTTTGCAGTATTGCATCCTCTTCTGTTGGTTGTCTGATGAGGGGAGGCTGAGCCTCATAGGAATGTGGGGTCACACCGAGCTGCTCATCTTACCTAGAGCAAGGCAAGTCCCTGTGGTCAAAGCAAGTGGTGACAGTGGTAAAAGACTGCCTGGCCCTACCTTTCCTTTCGCAGCCCCAGGGCACACCTGCTGCTGAGCAAGGATGCAGAAGGGAGAATCTTGAAGCATCGAATGGGATCTTGCAGTGAGGAGCCTCAGGGCTCCATACACCTGAGTTACTGTAGAATTGCTCTTTCAAAGGAGTGGAGCAAGTGAGAGAAGAAGGTGTTTGGCTTCTGTAAAGGAAATCGGGTGTCTGGGCAAGAACCGATGGCTCCTGAGGGACAGGACCAAGCCAAGCCTCTCCGTCTTTGGGGTCTCAAACTCAAATCTGCTCATCATTCACCTTGGGACATTTGTGACACTGAAATCTCATGGCTGCACATGTCTGAGATGCACCCTGGCATGGCAGCAGGGCTGGTGGCTGGGATTGGCTCCCCTTTTTCCTGCTGCCGATCAGAGAAGGGCTCTTTAGGGCACGCTTCCATGCAGGTTTGAGTTGCTAGGTACCATTTGTGTTACCTAAGATGCAGGGATGTGTATCTCACCTGACAGAGTGCTCTGCCTTTGCACCTCCATGGGTGAGAAAAGGGTAATTTATTTAAATTTATGATGGCTAACAGGCTTATCTAACCACAGTTAAAATAACTTGCTAAATTATTCGTGTGATATTTGGAATCATGATTGTGGGAACAAATTAGCCGCCTGAAAACGGGAGACTGATTTAGCTCATTAATAATGGATTAAGGGAGGCCGGGTGCTGGGCGAGCGGCCAGGCTGGCTCTGAGCATACAAATGGGGTGTTTCCATGTGAGAAATGTGCTTTCTGAGCAGTGCTTGTGTGGAAAAGCATCACAGGATGTGGCCACAGAAGCAGGAGTCTGCATTATAGAATCCCAGCCTGGTTTGTGTTGGAAGGGACCTTAAAGCTCCTCCAGCTCCAACCCCTGCCACGGGCAGGGATACCTTCCACTAGAGCAGCTTGCTCCAAGGCCCGTCCAACCTGGCTTTGAGCACTGCCAGGGATGTATTCTGTGCCTGGTGCTCAGGGTACTTCTGAGCTGCAGGACCATGTCCCAGGCAAATGCATGGCCACCCAATGGAGGGTTTATACTTGCTTTAAAATGTCTCCAACATCAGTCCAAATGTTGCCAGCTTCACTTGTGTAAGTGATCCCAGCAAAGACCTGACTCTAGAGAGTTTTCTTTTAGAGGTGAAGTGGTACCCAAGGTCACCCAGTATTTAGCAGAGTGATGCTTTCCTTCTGTTCTCACTTCCAAAGTCAGATAATGTGGTGGACATGTAAAGAAAGCCACCTCATCGCCTGGAGATCCCTTAATGGGCATTGCTCTGCATAGAAATCCATTCTTGCAGTGCCAAAGGACTGGAAGACATTTAAGGAACTTTGAGGATTTGCCAGATGATTTGGTGCGCCATCAGATAAGGATGATATAATACAAACAGGGCACGACTTGGGTAATGAGGGACTATATGTGAAGTGACGCGATTGCTTGATTAAGATAATAGTTGAAGCATGTGGAGAAGGAAATTATAATTTATATATTGCTGATTGTGAGGTTTATTTTAAGGACATAATTTAAGGATTGTCAAAAGCAGAAAGATCTTGAGCAAAAGTCAGTCACCTCGGGGAAAAAAGAGAAATTGCTACTGAACAATTAATGTCTGAGGCAAAGCAGGAGGCAGGCAGCAAAGGGTGGAGGTGCTGGAGAAGACAAAGGCAAGAGCTCATGTTCCTAGCAAAGAACTGAACCAGGAGCCAAACACCCACCAGGGCCAGGAAGGGCAATGGGTCCATCTATCTGTACCTTATCCTTCCAGGATAGATGCTGCTTGAGTTGAGCAGGATGCATGGAAGCGCCTCCCACCGGCTTTCTGCATCCCTGCTGCTGGGGATGCTGGTGTGTGAGCTTGAGCTAACCAGTCCTGCTGCATGTCTTAAACCACCTGCACCATGCCACCCGTCTTTAGCTGTTGACAGATACCTGGAAACATCAATTGCTGCATGATCTAGGGGAAATAATGGTGTTTTAAATCAGGCAAGCGTGTGGGAGGAACTGTGAGCAGCCTTTAGCAACTGAGTGCTGCTTTGGTGATGATGTTATTGGTGATGGTGGGTGTGAGACTGGGGAAAGGGGATGGGGATAGTGGGCGAGGTGCTAGCATGGCCAGAGCCATCTGCAGCAGCAGATAGACATCTCTGCATCTCCAGTGTTAGAGCATGTGAGGACTTTCCCCAGGGCAGCCAGCTTTCTGCCTGCCTTGCTGAGTTGTTCATCTGCAGTGTCTTTTATTTGATTAACGTGGAGGGTTTTGCAAACTGATCAAGACAGAGCCGGCCTGCCTGTAATTTCAGCTAAATTACAGTGATGCTCAATTTCAAACATACCTTTGATATGGTAATAGAAAAAAGCTAATTTAGCATATTGCACAGACCCCGGGTAAAGTGGAGGCGATACTGAATATTGATGGAACACATACACGGGTACCAGCAGTGGGGGGTAGTGATAAATACTCCTGTAGACGCTGAGTAGATTTATATTGTTATCCCTCTGCAAGCTTGTACCTGAACTCCTAATACCTTTAATTAGAGCTGTTCAGAGCAGATTTTCAGCTTGCTTCCAGTGTGTTCCTATTATGAATCAAAAGTTTATTTGCTTCTCTGATGGGTGGGAAATAATGGCATGGCATGGAAGCTCCCAACTGGCACAGCCTCCATCGAGATGCCACGGTGAATGAAGCTGCCTGTGTGTGTTATGACCTTGATGCATGATTTAAATGGGTGATTTTTCAAGCCAGATAAAACCTTTCACGTTAGCCACTGGTTTGTGCTACGGATGCAGCTCCCCCCTTCTCCTAATTAATAATAAACAGTAGTGCTGGAATAGATTTATGGTTGTCAGCAGAGCAGTTAACTGTCATGCCACTGATGAGTCAATGGCTTGTTGTATCCTAAGTGCTGATAACACCCAGCTCTGGGCTGGGCACTAAGCTGTGAGATGGCAATTTAGTTTTCACACACCATTTAGTTGTGCTTTTATTTCAGATTAGTCTCTGGGTTTTTTTCCCCTCTTTTTATTTCAGTTCTAATGCATGAGGCTCAACAGTGACCCAGGTCACAGTGGGAGAACTCACTGTCACAGCCTGAACTCCAGCTGCGACTGTCACTGTGGGTTTCAGAGAGGAGCATGCCTGGCAGAGACAGGGGAGCAAGCAGCTCATTGGCACACCAGTGCCTGGTGATAACTATGGACCAAAGTCCATGCTCACAGGGATCTGACAAGCAATAGGGAAACACCACCACAGGTAACAGACTGCATGTGCCTTTCCATAGCAGAGTCAAATTCAAAGCTTATTATGAATTCCAAAAGGAGGAGATATCCTGTTCCCAATAATGTGTTTTTTAGAGGAAAGTTAATGCAAGGACTCTTGGGCTGATACTGCATCAGCAGACGGTGATGTGATTCAAGGTGCGATTTAAGATGAGTTTAGGTAGCACAGAAAAGGCATGGGTCAAAGCGTGGTGGGGATGATGCTGTATTTGATTGCAAAGGGCTGCAAGTCTCTTTGTTAACCCACAGGCTGTCTCCAAAACGGGGCCTTGCAACAGGGGCTTGGTGATCTGTGTTGTTTTGAGGCTCCTCAGCAGATACACTCCTTTAGCACAATATATGACCGTAAATGATCCAAGATCATCTTTGGGCACCCCCAGCTGTAGTTGGGATTCCAGGTACTTGGTTCTGGGCTTTGTGGTTTCTCTGTGGTACTTTGCCTTCCCTTGAGGGTTGGCACGCTGGGAATTCCTTTTTGGTTGATAACATCATCACCTCTGTGTTTCTCAGCAAGGTTCACCTGGATTCCCAATGAACCCAGGTTGTTTTACAGGTGAGCACAGTGTTGGGGTTCAGAGAGCAAGATGGGTTTAGGTGATGATGGGGTCTGCTTCTTCACAAAGCTCTTACCCCACCTTCCTGCACCTGCAGACACCCCTTGGTGAAATGGTCCTTGCAAAGTGAATTTCAAAGCCTTTTGTGGAGCAAAAGACTTTTCCCTGCAGACACGGAGATGCTCAGTACTATGGAGACCAGGTCTGAACCTGTTTAGAGCAAAACTGTACTGAATGAATTCATCTGGGGAAGGAAGCCTTGTAACCCTGCATGCATCCTCACATACGGGCTTCTCAGTATTAACAGGAAAATGCCATTTGTGTGTATGTAGCTAAGAAAGTAAAATGTTATTTTATTCAGGAAGTGAAATGGCCAGCAGAAAAAAAGGAAAATCAGCCTATAAATAATAATGCATCTTTTATATTCAACTTTTTCCCAGTGAAACGACATCTGCTATATTCAATTCCTGTGTATTTTCTCACATCGACTGAACAGCTCTCTTGGTGCTAGCTTGAAGCTCTGTCAGACTGCCTCCAAAAGGTAGAGGAAGACCCCATGTGAAATGGAGATGCCTGCAGCAGAACAGTGGAGGGCTCTCTGTCCAACAGCTCTTCTCTGTGTTTTAGCACTCATTGTGATATTATACAGAATTCACAGGGGGGCTTTATTTCTGCTGCCCCAAATCTCAAAGCCGTTTTCCATCTGGCTGCTCTTTGTGAACAAACTTCCCTATGGAAAGGTTTGAGTCCATCTGGAGCAGGGCCTGGAAGTTCATTAAAACATAAGACTTAGTAAAATTAAAATGCATAAGGATCATCACTCCAGCTTGGTGATGGGAAATCAAAGGTAGTGCCTGCTTTCTGAAAAGAGAAGGATGTATCTGACACCCAGTGTTTGATGGGGGTCCCACACTGTTCCTCTCATTTCCTAGTTGGTCACTGTGATGCTCGCAGTGTTTTCGAAGCAGCATTTCCACACATTTGACTTTTAAATTGCAGTGGGATTATAGCGACAGCACAGGCTTACATGCTTCAATGTGTGAAATACATTGTATTTGATATTCTTTAACCCGATAATAATGGGCTGTGGGTGAAAACTGCCATCAGCAATCACAGCTCCTGATTTTGCACTTGGATTTGCACTGCTCATCCTACCCACCCGGCTGCTGCCGGTGGCTTCAACATGACTTGATGTGGCTGTAGGGATGCATCACTGGCAGCAGAGCCTGTGCGTCCGGGGTTAGTGGCCTCTATGATCAGCTCAGTGAATATCTCCCCACAAACACTTGGTTTTTGTCAAATATCTCAATTCTGAGTCCCTGTTTTCAGTGCAGTGTAAATCAGGCTGCATGTTCCCCAGTGCTGGGAAGTCTGCGCTTCTGAAAGCAGGCTTTAACACCACCATGATTACAGCCTAATGCAAGTTTCTCTTAGGGCATGGCCTCAATATAAGGATTTAATTTTGAGGAGGAAACTAAGTGGGTGGAACTGAAAGCGATCCAAGTGCTCAAATATCGATGTGCTGCGGCATTTTAATCGCAAGGAGCCAGTCAGTAGCTTTTGAGCTACGTTACTTGGGCAGAGGAAGTCAAAGGCTCCTCGTAGTTGTTTCGGTGCTTTTCCATATTGAAAGTTTTGGACATCTGTCTGCATGATTCCTGTTGAATTTCATGAGTTATGGCCCTGGTGAATTTGGGAGCATGCCACCAAATGGACAGACAACCCCAAATACATAGAATCATAGAATAGTTAGGGTTGGAAAGGACCTGAAGATCATCCAGTTCCAACCCTCCTGCCATGGGCAGGGACACCTCACACTAAACCATCTCACCCAAGGCTCTGTCCAACCTGGCCTTGAACACTGTCAGGGATGGAGCATTCACGACCTCCTTGGGCAACCCATTCCAGTGCCTCACCACCCTAACAGGAAAGAATTTCCTCCTTAGATCCAATCTAAACTTCCCCTGTTTCAGTTTTAACCCATTACCCCTTGTCCTGTTACTACAGTCCCTAATGAAGAGTCCCTCCCCAGCATCCCTATAGGCCCCTTTCAGATACTGGAAGGCTGCTATGAGGTCTCCATGCAGCCTTCTCTTCTCCAGGCTGAGCAGCCCCAACTTTCTCAGCCTATCTTCATACAGGAGGTGCTCCAATCCCTGATCATCCTCGTGGCCTCCTCTGGACTTGTTCCAACAGTTCCATGTCCTTTCACTGGCTGTCCTGCTGAATTTGGAATATTTAAAGTTTCCGTTCATGTGTCTAAAAGCAACAGAAATGACATATAAATTCTGAAATCGAAGGGACAGCAAAGCATCTAGAGCTAACTGCAGAGTGGATGGATGGAGGTGATGCAGGAAAAGCAAATACTGGAAGAGGGAATCGTGTGTATGCGCAGGGGGCTGCACTGCGAGACTTTGCTCCTCTGAAATATTGATGATTTATTCTATGTACAGAGCTGGCAGGTGTCACTGGTGATGGTTCTGACCATTTCTTTACCTTGGTGCTGGAGCAGACAGCCTGTTCAGGGCAGACATCCTGCACCCTGCTGTTTCCTCTGCTGTGCACAGCTCTCGGCAGAGGGCCCTGCAATCTCTGCAGCAATAAGGAACTGGGTGCGTTCTCACCTCCCACTCCTGTTGGGCAGCATCAGCTCTGGAGTATGGAGCCCCCAGGAAAGGGGAGAGGTGCGGTGTTTGTGTTCAGGTGTGCTCCAGAACCAGGATGTGAAAACATGGACGCTTTGCCTCAATGACATCAGTAATGTCCACTTGAGCAAAAAAAGCAGCTCCCAGAGGCCCTGAGCTTGGTCTCGGCAGCACAGCACCAATATTGTCCTTGTTTCATGGCTGGAGAGCTGAGGTGCTGGAAACAGCATGTAGGTATCTGAAGGAGCCAGCACAGAGGTCCTGCTTTGTTTTAAGCATCAGGTTGTCCTTCCCTTGGGCACTGCACTAAAACTGTGCCATATCCTCAATACGCATCATGCGGAGCCTGCTCCATTTGAGCTGAGCTTGCCTTGTCTGTGGCCAGTTAGGGCTGGTTTATATTTCCACTACCTGTCACCCTTTTATATTCTTTGTTCATATACAGAAGATAATAAGTCTGAAAGCTGAAAATGGGTATAGTGATAGAGAATATCTAAAGAGAGCACATGATGTTAAGTAATGACCGTTAAGCTCCATAATAAATCCTTGGTGATGGTACAAAACCTTTGCATCTGCTCGCAAGGTAGAATTATTTCATGGCTTCCGGGCCCCGTACGTGGATATATGTCAGTGCATCAGCATCTTCAGGGACACATCCATAATAAAGATAATACTAATTTTCATAGCAATGTGTTTTCCTGTCAGCCAAAGGTAATCAAGTGGTTAAAGGAGAACTCAGTTTGCTACCTAATGTGAAAAATAACTCATGCGTTTTATGTCTCCTCTTCTTCTAACTTCCACCAGTGTCAGGCCACATTGGTTTTGCATTTACTGTAACAACCTTCCCATAGATATGAGGCAGAGTGTGCTAAGTGCGGGGTTTCTAATCGCTTTCCTTGTGTGTCCAGCATCCCAGCTACCCACGGACCTTGGGCAGGATCAGATCATGGCTCCCAGCTAAACAGATTTAATGTGGAAATAAAAGAATGGATCCAAAATGAGGTGGAACTAACAGATGAAAATAATAAGGAGATTAAATGACAGTAATTGAAAGGGTTTCTAATGTCTTAGATGCAGTACAATAACACTCCTTTAGTATTTATCCAGCCTTGAAACCAGCTATTTCCTTGAGGAAGGCATAGACATTGATATAAGTGCTGTATTTTCTGTATCTGTTCTACCCAGGCTAATTGAAAAGCTACCATGGAGAGGAAATCGGGTTGGTGCTGGGAGCTTGTGCTTGTGCTCTCATCTTCAGGAAGGTATAGGAAATCTCCAGAAAATTAATTGTTTGGACTTGAAAGTGCTCCACTAGCTGAGGTGATGGGTGAATTCGGCATTCCTCAGCACCGATCCCGGGATCCAGATCTCACTACTCATCAGTTCTGCACCATTCAGTCCCATATTTTCTAAGCCTGCATAAAATACAGTGGTGAATTACCACTGTAGCCCATGAGGCATCATGGCAGAGGCAAGCACGCTCACAGCACCTGGTTTAAGAGATAAGATCATCCCAGGGCAGCAGAATTACCACTCCCAAGCACTAATAAGGTTGTTAAACGTCCCTATAAAGACAAACACTCCTGTTGAACACACACACACACATTGTCTATCTGTGTGTATAAAAGCGAAATATAAACCCTGTTTTCTGGCCAGGTCCCCATCAAGTCCATTGCTCTGAGGACCACAACCCTTCCATGCTGCAGGAGCGGTCCCATTGCCATCAGGGACTCGCAGCTCCCCATCACTGGGGACATGTCCCATGGTTTCATATCCCTTCCAACCTGCAGTGCCTTCCGAGTGCAGGAAATGCTTTATTTTCTTCTCTTCGTTTGCTTTTCATGTTCCTCCTTTTAATGGTGTGTTAGTGGCAGGGAAACCCGTAGAAATAAAAGCGCACTGCAAAAAGGCTACAAGAAAACACTTGATACCAGGGAGGGATGAATGAGACCTTGAAATTACAGCCTGCAATATATGAGCCAGTGCTGCTCGCAGGTACTCGAGGCATTAATTCCTGAATACTGTCTGCTTTAGTAGGTAATTTTTGTGACATGCCTGGAGAGGCTGGTGCCTTTCCCCATCTACTGTAATGAAGTATGGCAGGTTTGAGAGAGATGAAGGACTTTGCAAAGGTGCAGCAGCCTGACGCCGGGATTCATTTTGAGCATGAGCTGGTTCCTATTTTATCTAAGCCTGATTCCGTCATCCTTGGAAAGGACGGTGCTTGCTTTTGATGGTGAATCTTGTTATAAGTACTTCTTTGGCATGCCAGTGAAGAAGAAAAGCTATCACGATTTGACACGTGAAACGTGAAGTCTCAATTACTTTTATGTTGTTTTTCCTTCTGTGGATCGGGAGTGAAAAATACATTTTAATTAAAAAGCGAAAGATGATATCCAGATCTCGGCATGCCTCGTGCAGAACAGCCTGGATCTGGGAGTGCTTCCCAAGGCTCGGAGCACAGCTTGTGCTGCGCTTCGCAGGCATGGGCAGCAGCCGTGGCTGATAATGCCGACTGATTGATTTGGCCATTATCTGACACTTTCTTTACTTAAGGGAAAAGGAGGCTGTGGATGATG